GACCCCGTTTACCCCGTGATTGCTGCTGCCGACTCATTCAGGGGCGGAGCTGCTGGCTGGCGGTCTCTCCTCCAACCGCACCCTGCTGTGCCTTGACCTGAGCTCTAACAAGATAGGGGACGCGGGGGCGCTGGCCATCGCGCAGGCGCTCAGCGGCAACGGCAGCAGCGCTCTGGCGGAGCTCAACCTGAACCAAAACTGCATAGGTGCGGGGTCCGGGGCTTTGGGTTTGGGAGTTGGAGGGTTGGCGTAGGTCAGCGAGGAGTTGGTGCGTCAAAACGTCCGGGGTCGGCGGGGCGCGCATGGTGGGCGGCAGGGGGGGCAAGGGGCCGCGGCTGCACAGGATGTCTGGTGGGGGTGCCGGCAGCGGCGGCGCGCGCTGTGTCGCTCGCAACCAGGCGGCTGAGGGTCGAGGCGCCTGCGAGCGGCGCGTGCCCGGCGGCATGTCCCTTTTACCCCAAGTGCTCATGCCTGCCGCTTGAGGCCTGGGCCGAGGTCGGCCCGCAACCTGCTGGAGAGCATAGCGGCGGGGCCCTGACGCCAGATCACCTCCACGCCGACGCGCGCCGTGCGTTTGCAGGCGACGAGGGCGCCGAGGCGCTGGCCGCGGCGGCGGCGTCCTGCCGCCACCTGAAAAAGGTGCATCTCGCTGGCAATGGGATTGGTGCGGCGCAGCTGAAGGTGGTGGCGCAGGCCCTGAAGACCCGCGAATACAGAGTGTGAGCCGGGGCGCGTGCGTTGCACCCGTTTAGGCCGAGAGGGCCGGGCCGCGGGGCCGGCGTCCTCGCGGCCGCGCCAGGCTGCGGGGCGAGGACGCTGGGGGCTGTGCGGGTGATGGCAAATGATTGGCTGAGCGGCGTGCATCTGTGCTCTGGAGGGTGCTCTTCAATCGCATGGGGTTGGGTCTTGTGGATCCGTGGTGGACGGGCCCCGTTGGCGCCGCGCTGTGCCGTTTTGCGCCGTGGCAGGCCCACGTGCGCGTTGACCAGCCAAAGGGTGCGCCGGCGCTCCTTCGTCTTTCAACCCCCGCAGGCCCCCCACCAAGGGCGGCAGCTCCGGCGGCCTCGGGCCCCCCGCCCCCAGCCCCCGCGCCGCCGAGCGCCCCGTGAGCGGCGCGGCGGCGTCGCTGACCGCCGCGGCCGGCGGCCTGCTGCGGCGCATCCAGTCTCACAAGCGGGACCCCTCGGTGCTGCAGTTTGACATCGAACTCACTGACTCTGAGGACATGCTGAGTCGCAGGTGAGAGGGGGGCGGGGGTGCCCGTGGCAAAGGGGCTGCCCACGGGGGCAGGGGCAGGAGCAGGGGCAGGGGCGAGACAGGGCAGGGGTTGAGGCAGGGGTTTAGAGCTGCGGCAGCTGCACGCGGAGGGGCGCCCTGTCAGCCGGGCTGGGCGGAATCCAGCGCCAGAGCGCATCGTCTGGGCGGCAGGATAATGTGTGCGGTGCGCCGGCCGCTGGCCCTGCGCCACCGCCCCGCCCGCCGCGCCCAGCCGCCGGCGCGGCTCATGCTTACCCCCGCTACCCACACACGCACACGCGCAGCGCCCAGCTGCTGCGGCTGCGGCCGGCGGCGGTCGTCGCGTCGCTGTGCGAGGCGGCGTGCCACCTGGAGAGCAGCATCGCATCTCATTGCTCGTTCATCTTATCAGAGCTCGAATCAGAGGCGGCTGGCGTCACTGGCAGCAGCCCCCCGGGCGACGCCGGGGGTCCCGGGAGCCGGGGCGACGCGGAGGCGTCGGGGGCGGCGGCCGCGGCGGCGCAGCCGCAGCGGGTGCTGCCTCGGCTGGCGGTGCGGCTGGCGCGGCTGGGTTACGTAGTGCACGTGCGCTGCGCGGCTGCGGCGGCGGCGCAAGGGGGCAACGGCAGTGCTGTGCAGGCGGGGCAGCAGCAGCAGCAGCAGCAGCAGGAGCAGCAGCAGCAGCAGCAGCAGCAGCAGCATCCCCAGCAGGGGCAGCAGGGGCAAGAGGTGCATAACGATATCAAAGCCAGGCAGCCGCCGGGGCAGCCGCAATCAAAGCCGCAGCCAGGACAGCAGCAGCACGGCGAGCCGCCGCCGATGGCCGTGGCACAGCAGCAGCAGCAGCAGCAGCAGCAGCAGCAGCAGCAGCAGCAGCAGGCGCCCAACGCACCCCAGCAGCAGCCCGTCGCAGCCGCCGCCGCCGCCCCGGCGCCGCCGGGGCGCCACGCGTTTTTGGTGGTGCAGCAACCGGACGAGCTGGCGTCGGCGATAGTGGTGGACCCGGAATTCGCCGCGCACTTTGCGCTGCCCTCTGCCGACCAGCGCTACCAAGACGTTATTGCCGCGCTGCCCCGCGTGCTGGTGATTCAGGTGCTCGCGAACCCCACCCCCCACGGGCCCGCCTGCTGCTTTGACAGGCTCCGCCTGTCCGGCGCGGCAAGCAGGTTGCAGCCGTGATGAATTCCGCAGGCTAGATCTCTCTCAACGCGTGGCCTGGCTGCGCACCTCAGCTATGACCCCGTCTCAAGCCGCGCACATCTGGGCACAGCGGGGACGCGTGCTTCGCTCCCGTGTCTCTTCGCCGCTGCTGGGGTGAATCTCACACCCCTCTCCCCTGTTGTGGTGTTTGGAAGTGGCAAAGGAAACCGCCAAACCGCCCCTGCGCGCAACACACAGGAGTCGCGCCTCTTCTTCCTAATCGAGGCCCTCTGCTCGGAGATGGGCGCCGCCTTCGAAGCCCTGGGGCGCCCGCTCCCGCCCTGGCGCTGCCTCGACCCCGTCGTCGCCAGGTGGCAGCCACGGCGCTTTGTGGATGTCCCGGTGGGAGACCCATTGGAGGGCGCAGCCCGCGGGCGCGCGTCGCTGGCAGGCGGGGACGCGGGCGTGTCGGCGCTGGCAGAGGCGCTCGCGGCGCACGGCATCTGCTGATGGGGGCGCGCGTGTGCGCGCGCGTCGCGCGGCGTCGGCGGGGCCTTTCGTCGCTGCCGTGCGCGCGCCGGCCGCGGGCCAGGGTGGCAGACGCTGTGCTGGACCTTGCTAAATCTTTTACCTTCTCTTTGCCTGTTATCTCATTCATTATACAGCTGTGACCGGTTGTGTTTCGAGGTCGTTTTTCTTTTGTGCAGCGCCAGCCACGAGGTCACCGCCGGCGCTCGCAGGCCGCAGGGGCCTCCGCAGGCGCACCCACGCCGCCAAGGCGCTCGGAGCCGCTTCGAACAAGGGGCGTGCCGCGCGAGCTCGCGTCCCCCCTTGCCAGCCGCACGGGCGCGCGCGAATCCAGGTGGCTACGCCGTGTCTGGTGGTGTTGCTGTGCGCTTGCTCACCACCGCGTTCAGAGGTGCTGCTGCGCTGTCCTTGCGCATGCATTGACGTTCTGGCTTGGCCCCCAGGCTCGAACGGCGCGAGTGCGTATGCAACCGCCGCGCATTCTCGCTCGGCCCCAGCGGGCAGCCGAGGGTCAGCTGCATGGGCGGCCTGTTGGCAGCGTGGCCGCGTGACATAGCCGAGCGTGCGCAACTGCCCGTCCGCTGGGCTGCTCGCGACGCTAATGGTGCGGGGCTATGTTTTCTCGGCTCGGTAATGCAGGATGCCTTGTTTTCCCTTATTTCGTGCTGCCGCCCAACACAAGCTGAAGTCACAGCAAGCACCCAAAGTTCCTTCAAGCCAATCCAAGAGCTGCCAGAGTGTTACACTATGCACGCTCTACGCCTCTCGTAATGTCTGTGTGATGTGTCAGGACAGCTGCCACGTGGCTTGACAATACGGGCATGACCTTCATTATGCCAACCGCTCGATCCATCTTGTCCACCGGTGAGGTTTCCGGCTCGCCTGATGTACACACAGGTGCAGTCCTCAAGGTGACTGGCACATGCGCACGCACCACTGGCAGCAATCACATGCAGCTCTGAATCCAAGGCCCCTGTCGCCAACGGCACACGCTTCACAGAAGGGCGCAGCCGAAACAAGAGCGGAACGCCGCGGCAACAGAGGCACTGCATGCGCAGCCCACCAGGCGCTCTCTTTGCAGTTTGTGGCAGCACATGCGAGCAAGCAAGCAGACGGTAGTGGCCGCCCTACCAACAGCCGCGGGTCGTGGGGCGGCATCAAGCGAACCGCCGAACTCCGGGCCCCCTTGTGTACGCGACGCACGCTCCAATTGATTTGCGATGCCCGGCAGAAAAGGCTCTCCAATGCAGCGCCAGCCACAGCGCAGCGCCAACTGAGCGGCCGCGGCTGCCATGGCAGCTGTCAGACGAACGCAACATGGACAGCACGCACGGTTTGGGGCACAGACCATCTACACGCCCAGTCAACATATTCTCTGCGGCACGCACAGCAACAAACCGGCTTTTGCAGGGCTCGGGGCGCAGCGGCCGGGTTGGGGAAGACAGGGGCCTTCATTTATGGTGTGACTCACTGAGGGCAAATGGGCTTCCGCCCCCTCAGTGCTGGCAACTATAGCAGCCTTCCACGCCACCTTCAGCCGTGTACGGCAGGCGTGCAGCATAACGCGCTCCGCTCAAAGTTTAAGGTAGCCCGGCATCGCCCCTTGAGGCCGCACGTCTCCATGCGCAGCCGCTCGCGGCTGCGAAAGCAGCATTTCGCTCTCGCCTGCAGCGAGGGCCTGCCGGAAGACTGTTCACTCGCAGCAGCCCAGAAAAGTCCCCTCGTGGCGGCAGGCCCCCTCGACCATCTACTTGAAATCAAAAAACTTGGGGCAGTTGGCGCCGCCGGCGGCGGCGCGCAGCACGCGGTCCGCACAGTAACCCGGCGCGTTCCCCATCGCCGCCGCCATCGCCGCCGCCTCCTCGGCCGCCAGCTGGTCGTCTGCGAGGTGTGAAGCAGGCGGCCACAAGGTGAATGGCGGCGCAGCCGCGGGATGGGAGGCAGAGGTGCACGAGAAACTCACGCAGGAGGCTGTCAGGCGGCACCATGCCGCAAACACACGTCTCGGCTCATCTGTCCGCTTGTACGCGACAAGCATGGGAGGAACACTCGGTGCATGCCTTGACTAGGGCCCGCGGCAAGGTTCGACCTTTCTGGCTGCTCGACGTCCATTGGCGACGTGCAAGGCACCCCTTCCAGGCCCGTTTTCCACCCGACCCCTGACTCGCCCCACAGGCAATCCCTGGACCTCAGCCCAGCCACCCACCCCCTGCAAGCTGGCTCAAGTCCGTGACGCGCTTCGAGTAGATGACACCAGATGATGTCACCTGGCGCGGCCCCCTGTTGGAGCCACGACCTGGGGCACACGCGGCCATAAGAGGAGGTGGGGAGGGAGCGAGACTGGACGTCCTGGCAGACACAGCCCGACACGTTCACGGCAACGCCAGGCCCGCCACAGCAGGTGCCAACCGCTGCAGCGATTGGCAGGGACACGTGCGACAGGAGGCCTCTTATACACCATGTCTGTCCCTCACACAGGTCGGCTGGTTGCTGCCTTTCTGCTCTGCTGGCCTCTCTCAACCCCTTGAATCAACAGCGACCGGCTGGATCAAGGCAAGGCGCACTGCTGCTGGCGCACCCACCGTAGACCCCGTCCTCGTCAGAGTGCGCCTTGATGAGGCCACTCAGGAGGAGGGTGGCCGCCAGCAGCAGCACAGCGCTGCCCACCAGCGTGCTCTTGAGCTTGGCCAGCACAGGGCGGACCTGGGGCGGGGAGCCATTGGGTTGAGGGCGGGTGACGAGGCGTTACGCGAGGCGTTCCGCGCGGCGCCGCTGCGTGGAATTCACGATGCAGGCGCTGAGCCGCGGCCTGCGGGGCCCGCCGGCGCCGGCAACACGGCGGCCAGCCGCGGGGCCGGCGCCGCTGCAGCCGCGGGCGAGTAAGCCGCAGCCAGCTGCGCCGCCTATTTTCCTGGCCGCACCTGGTAAGTGCCGAGCAGCCTGTCGCGCCCCAGGATCTCCGGAGGCTTCACAAACAGCTGCCCGTCGTACCAACCCTGCGGCGGCGGGGACGAATAGCGAGGCCCGGAGCTGTCGGCGACGCGCGCAGTGGTGGGGCGCACGACACGTGTGTTGCAGCCACGTGCCGCTTGCCTTGTCTCACCAGGCAGCACCCAATCTACACAGCCCTGCACCAACCGCCGCTCAGGCGACTCACGACTGCGTCGCGGAATCGCGCGACCAGCCGAGCGCCGGCCTCACCTCAAACCCCCTGCGACACATACACAAACACACACACACACACAGGCGTGAACACGAGGCGCTGCGCGCACCGTCTCCTCATACGGCACCGCCGCGCTGAACAGCCGGTCCCCCACGTACTTCCAGCCGAGGTAGATGCGGATGCACGCGATCGACACCACCACCAGCGACCCCACCGCCGCGCTGAGCACGAACTCGGCCGGCTGCGGGGCGCGTGAGGGGCCGCGCGGCGCGGTGAGCGGCTGTGCTGTGGGGGTAGCTGCTGACGGCTTTGAGGAGGGCCGGCAGAGTGAGGGGGAGAGGGCGAAAGGCTGGAGGCCTGCTGCAAGGCCCGCTGCGCTGCCTCAATTGCCGCCGCCTCCCTGATACAAGCTAGCAACTCTGCCCCCTAGGATGAGCGCCACGCTTGCGGCAGCATCCCTTCCGCAAGCTGGAAGCCCGGCAGCGGCGCAGCAGCAGTGCTTGCGCCACCGACGCGCGCGGATGGCGGCAAGCTTGCGTGGCGCGCGATCGCCCTCACGTCTTTGGCCGGGTCGAACGTGACGTAGGAGATGGGACCCCCTACGACTGCGAAGAAGAAGCCGAAGAGCGTAGCGAGCTTTTTGATGTAGTCCCCCTGCTCCAGGGTGGCCTGCGATAGAAGGCGGGGGCGCGGGGCGGGCGTGCCCGGGGGCAGGGGCCGGAGCGTGCTCCTGGCTATGTAGAGATAAGAAGCGCGGTGCCATCGTGCTAACAAAACCAAATGGGGCCAAGCTGCGAATGCCGTGCGGGGGCCGAGCGACGGCGGAAACTAGTGCGTCGCCATGACACCGCCAGCCCGATCAGCGGCCAGACGGCCCTGGCAACGCACCCACGAGTAGAGCCAGGCCTCCTTGAGCTGCGCCAGCTCGTTCACGGGCCGCTGCTCCTTGGGCACGGCAATCTCCAGTTCCTGGAGTGCCGTCTGCGTCTGCTGCTGCTGCTCTCGCCGCGACGAGCGCGCCGCGACCACCGATGCGCCACGGCTCGTGCTGCTGCTGTCATGCCCGCTGTGGCGCCGCTGCTGCCAGTCCGCTGCCCGCGCTACCCGTGCTAAAATCACTGGGTACCCATATGCCCTGCACAGAGGAACCGTCCCGCGTGCCAATGATAGGCCCCCCTGCGGTGCCCCCGATGCAATGGCCTTCATCGCACGTCGTGTGAGCAAGAGAGGCGCGCTAAAGTGTCCTCCCTTGGACTAGACGCGGCAGCAAGCTTCTCAGCCACATGAGCCAGATGTGATGGTGCCGGGCAGCTTCTGTGGCTAGCGATGACTTCCTCCGAAGTTGTGCCCATACGGTGATGGAAACCAGCTTCTCATTCGTGCAATTTGTGATGCTGACCTTGTATCTGCAGGCAGTGCTTGGAGATCAGCGCGACAAGATCGGCGTGCATTTCAAAAGCAACAGCTGGGAGGGCTACATTACAGCTGTTAGGTGCCTGCGAGTTCATTTTCTTTGGTCTGGCTGAAGAAAGCGCCTTTTTGAGCTCTGGTGGCCAGCACGCCGTTCCTGGAGCAGCACTGCCTGCACGCGCTCTTGCTGCGGGCGTCGGCCCACCATGGCGGCGTCCTCCTCTGTGGCAGAGCTCAAGGATGCTCTAAAGGTAAAAGTGACTAGCATCAATTAACACACGCTTTGTCATCCCCGAGCGCACCACATCCGGCTGACAGACAGCAGCCCAAAACGGGCCAAGCGCGTCTCAGGAAAAACCGTCTACGCCTGGAGTGCCAACGAGCAACAGCCCAGCACACCTTCCTGGCCTGCTGCGTTGGCCCTATCTGTTTTGACGCTGCAGGACGCGATGGAGCGCAATGGCGGACTGCGCAAGCTGCAGGCGCACGCGCGCGCCGAGGCATACCGCGCCCTGAGCGCTGCGGAGGTGCGCAACGCTGAATCCTTGCGTCGGACGCCTCTTCAGGCGCACGGGCCGTCCAAGAAACGGCCACAGCGGCGTGCTCCTTGGTGCGGCAACCGTGAAGCAGCGCCGCCCCCGCCGCCGCATTCCTGCGGCACGCTCCGCAGGATGCGCTGCGGCCGGAGCCCAGCAGCGAGACTCTCCTAGTCAACGAGCTGATTCGAGAGTACCTCATTTTCAACGGGCTGCGGTGCGCACCAGCAAGGCGCGGCGCGGCCAGGCGCCCTGTCGCCGCAGCATCGCAGCCAGGGGCCGTGCCAGGGGCGGCAGGCGCTCAGCGCGCGGCCTGTCACCCCTGCTGCTGGTAGCCGTGTTGGTTTTTGCAGCGCAGGTCTCTTCAACCAGTCCTCTCGCACCTCCTTGCTTTTTGCCACAAACCTGTCGCTCATTCAAGATCACCCATACCACGTCCCACCCTCTGTGGCAGGGAAACTCTCTCCGTATTCTTGCCAGGTGTGCGCGCACCGCCACCTCGCCTTCATTCTTGCATCGCTCGTTCCATCAGCTGCGCTGTTTGAGGCGGTCCCCTCCTCGCATCAATGCATGACACTATGTTCCATCAACGCTCGGCTTGCAGAGAGCGGCCAGCCGGCCAGCCGGCCTTTCGACCGCTCTTTCCTGGTGAGTCGCAGCCACGGAGATAGCAACTCGTGTAGCCGCGCAACAGCCGCCATCGTCACCGGCATCGCGCCTGGAGGCAGCCCTTTGCCAAAAACGCGCATGCCTGCGCCGTCCACCCACGCAGTCGCAGCAGCTCAACCTGGCCCACACGCCCCACAGCGCCAAAGTGTGAGTGTGGGGCTTGCACACAGGCACAGTGCTCTCATCTTTTTGTGCTGCGCTTCTGGCTCGTGCAAGCTTGCTGTTGGTCCTATTTTGTCCCACAGCTCACCATGCACCTTGCTCTGTTTCGCAGGCCGCTGCTGTATTCGCTGGTGGCGGCACGTCAGCAAGAGGGCCTCGCCGCCTCGCCCTCGCCGCAGCACAACTGGGCGCCGCCCAGCAGCCCGCTGCGCAGCGCGGCGGCGCGCCCCGCGGGCGCGGCGGCGGAGGTCGCGGGGCCGGGGGCGGGGTTGGCAGACGGGGTGGTCAATGGGCTGCGAGCAGCGGTTGGAGACGCAGCTGTGGCGGCCATGCAGCGACAAGACTACCACGGCTGACCTGTGCGCCAGTGACAACAATATGATGACTGATGCTTTCTCTGATCAATTTGCCGGCAATCATGCCTTGTCATTCCGTTTTTTGCTGTACATGCTTCTGTATGACGAAGGACCCTGATTGCGTGCAAACACGTGCAAACAAAACCGAGCGAAATGTTACAAATGAAAGTGATCTACAATGGTGTGTGCGCATGCACAAGACGGTCGTTCAGGCATCAGCCCAGCAGCACGATTCCCAGTGTTCAGCATCCCAGACAGATGAGCATGACCCAGGCAGTGTACTCAATAACAAAATTTTGGCAGAGCACACTGCACCTGCTATTGTGAAATAGTGGTATTAGGCCCCTATACCTGCCCTCTGCTCAATACGACACGCAGTCCAGTGGCCGCACACAGCACACGCGCACCCCCCAGGCTGCACCGACTGCTGTCACTCGACGCGGCGCCGGCGCGCTCCCCCAGCCTGTTCTGCCCCAGCAGCGTCCCGGCTCTCACTCTGCCTGCGCCCGCGGCGGACCTGCAGGCGCGCGGTTATCTCCGCCTCCTGCTCTTGGGACACCTGGTGCAGGATTCAGCAAAGGATGGCCGGACAGGCAGATGTCTGCAGCTGGCCCTCTGCTCAACGCAACACGCAGACCGGCAACCGCCCACAGCACACTCACACACTCCTGCACGCGGCTAGCTGGCTGGCTTGCAATAACAACTTGCTGGTGCGCGTGCCCAGATGGCAGACGTCCCCCGGTCCTCGGCACATCCTGCTCCCATGCCGCATGCGCACAGCCCCAGAGCCCGGCTGCATGGTGCCGCCCAGGCCCGGCCCGGCCCGCATGCAGCCCTGTCAGAGGCTCACCGGCCTCCTCACAGCCCAGGGGTGGTTCTCTGGCAGCTCCACCTCCTCCAGGTCAAGCTTGAGGAACGCGCTGCGCAGCAATGGGGACGCCACGGCACGTGGTCGGCACTTGAGCAGCCGTACCCGGGCTGAATGAGAAGCTGGGCGATGCAGCCCTTGCGGCGTAGCTGCTTAGGGGTTGCTGGGCGCGTAATCCGCCAAACAACGCACTGCTGGGGGGTTGCCGGGCACCTCATCCGCCCTGCACTCGGCCCACCTCTCCCGGCTGCGGCGCGCGCGGGCAGCTGCGATGGCCTCGTCGCTGAGCTCGTCGACCGCCACCATGTTGACATTACGCAGGACCTCTGTGCAAGGCCGGGTGAAGGAGCGCGGCAGGCCGGGGGGGGACGGCAAAAGCCGGGCGCGGGTTGCAAGGAGCGACCGGGGCCGCCATGGGGAGCCGACTGGAGCGCGCCCTGCGCATCTTCACCGCTCCGGCGGCCCCTGGCTATGCTCGTGGCGCATCTGCTGTGTGGCGGGGAGTGTGCCAGCTCGCATGATTGCCACACCTCACTGCAGCGCGCGCTGTGCATACACCAGCGCTCACCTCGCTCGAACGGATCACGGCTGCCGCCAAAGAACATCCTGCGTGCATGTGAGGATACTGTCAGGAGAGGGCGGCGGCAAAGCGGTGGTTGGGTGCACACGATTCACAGCCTGCATCGCACCGCTGCTTCATTCGTTTGAAAACGGCGAGCGCCACTGCAGCAGCAGCTAGTGCTGCAAGCGCCAGCGGGAGCCCCTTTGGCGTCTGCTTGCTCGTGACGGGAGGGCTGTCAACTATCCCTATCACGTGCTGCTGCTGGGTGGAGGAGTCTGTGCCGGCCGGGCTGGAGAGGGCCTGGACCGCGGGCCTGCTGCCGTGGCCCCGCCTCAACGACCTTGCGCGCTGCACGCTGCTGCGACTGACGCTGTTTTGAGCTCGATCGCGAGCCCTTGGCGCGGTGTGGGGCGGCTGGGCGTGCAACATGGCGAGTTGTGATGGAGGACGGTCGGAACGGCTAAAGTTGCCTATGCGTGACACAGGCTTTGTCTCACAGCCAATGCAAAACTTGGGACAAGGCGGGGGCTTGACGGACCGACAGATCACCACGGTATCCGATGCAGGAGAACATCTGCCAAATACCACACAAGTTATTTGCGGCGCGTCGCCATACTGTGCTTGTTTGATCAAACCACCTCAACATACGGTAGATGATGCACCACAGCGCACTGCAAGCAGTGCGTCAGCACGCCAGGTCAAACGGGCCATTCAACAAAGGCAGACCAGCACGAGCAGCCCAGCATCCCATAGGTGTCAGCCCGTGCAACACAACGCAACGTCCCTCTGTGCGCAACGCAAATTACAATCAAGCAAGTTCTTGTGCCAAGAAGCACGGCCGCCTGGCAACCATCCATGCGGGTCAATCATGCAAGTGCGGACAACTGCGGGCGCACGTGTTTGTGGCGGACGATGTTGAGTGGGCCGCAGACTGTCGATGCCGTCCAGGAAGTTTTGCTTGAGGGATGCGGTTTGCAAGAAAGCACAAGCTCCGTGGCTCCGCAGTTGACGGCCTCTCGTGTGCCGAAACACTGCATTCTGGTGCAGGAAGTCCTGATGTGGTCATGGAGCTGCACATAGAGGGCTTTGAAACGTATGTTAGAGCTTCATAAAACGAGCCATGCTGCTTGGGTGACTCTGTCGGCAGCCAGCCTGTTGCGGTAATCTAGCCAGCCTTCTCTGCGTCATGAAAAATCCCACTAACCTGTCCTGCCTGGGGCTGCAGCTCCCCATGGGTTGAACACGAACGTGGGCTGGCGAGCTGGCAAATCAATTTATTGAACAGATAACCCTGTGCTTGGCACCATACTCCAGCTCGACGCAAGCAGGTTGACCAGGCGTGTCGTACCTTCCCATGCCAGCTCAGGCTGTCAACGCGGTACTCGCGTCACTGCGATTGCAACAACACCGGCTTGGTGGCAGCATGCTCCAACTACACATGTACGTTTGTTGCTGTCCTCACACAATTCAATAGTCGTGTCCTAGCTTTCATTCACGTGAACTGGTCAGAACCGCCGTCGTCGAGTCTGCGTATACGATCCCCACCACGCTGGCGCCCGCACCGCAAGCGTCCGTGTTCTGGGCGGGGCCTATGCCCCACCTGATTCCCAATTTTCCTCACGGTTAGAGGGGGCCGCAAGGTGAGCTTCGTGAGGCAGTGCTTGGGGTGGGGGGCAGTGATCTTGCGCGCTGACCGCTGCCTGTGGTCTTTTGCGCGACCATAATAATTATTGAGGGTTCTTCATGCGTTTTCCAGCCCCCAAGCCCCGAGAGGTGACTCGCGCCAAACTGCCCCGGTGTCCCGGGGTGCTGAAGTGGATGTCTTTCGTCAGCTCAGCGGCCCATTTGCCGTCTGTTTAGTCTCCAAAATCAACTGCACGCGCTACTGCCACCCCGTCATCCCCAGGTTGGGGGCAGGTCCACGGCGCGGTCAGCCAGCCGGTCAACACAGCAGCCTCCGCACGCGCTGGCGCCGCCGTCGCCGTCGCCATGGACGCCCTCGACGCCATCGAGCGCGACCTGATGTTCGCGCTGGGCGGCGGGCTCTCGCCCCTCGACGAGGGCGACGCGCTGGAGATCCCCGGCCTCATGGACCTGCTCGACGCGCCCATGGACCCCCCTGGCGCATGCGCCGCGCCCGCATGGCCGCCGGCGGGCGCCACCGGCGCCCCTGGCGCATGCGCCGCGCCCGCATGGC